GTGCCTAGGAAATGGCTACCGTTAGCTGTAAGATCTCCAGAAGGGTGAGCTGAGGGCACTGTGGCTGGCTATCTGCACACTAGAGCATGTCTATGGGGTATATAGTTCATTTCTCTCACCTTCTATCTCTACTACCATTCTTTGTGTTCACTTTTCAAACTCTTCTACAGATGTGAAAACAACATCAGCTTTGTATCCTTGCTCTTATTCTCTTTTATATTGTTTTATTTTATTATATATTAGAATTAGATAGTACTGCTTAAGGTATTTATAGAAGTCATCTTGTGCTGAACGATATATTATAGGCTATTAGGAGTTTTTTTTTTTTCAAGAATAAGTGACATGATAGGGGTAGGAAGATGATTCCATTTGTTAAGTACTCACTGTGTAGGCCTGAGGACCTGAATTCAATCTCCAGGACACACATAAAATGCTAATCTCAGGGCTGGGGAGGTACAGACAGAACACTACCTGACGCTTCCTGGTCAGGCAGTCTACCCAAATCGACTCTCAGATTCACTGAGAGAACCCGAATCAAGAACTAAGGTGGAGAGTGATTGAGGGTGATGTCTGCTATTGACCTCTGGCAACATACATGCATGTGCATACACACATGCACCCCCTCCCTGCAAACACACATGCTAAGCGATATGATGATTTTATAAAAGGTCATTTCATAAAATTCCATATTCTGTTAAATGTATTTGTTTACACTGGAAACACAATTATTCATCTTTTGCTCTTAGCATCTTTTTCAGAGGTGATCCTGGGGATGGAACCCAGGGCCTAATACACAATAAACAAGTGCCACACTACTGAGCTATATCCCTGATATATTTTTAACGTTTATTCACCTGTAACTAAACTCAGATATGCTTTGTGGGACATTTATCTAGGAAAGAATATAGTTGATGGGGGCAGGGGATGATGAATTCTGTTCTCAGCAACTGCTATGATTTCATTTCTTTTCTCTTGGAAAAGCTCGAAGAACAAGTGCCTTTTCCATAAGAAAACAACAGAGATTAAGAAGAGGGACAGAGTTAGGGCAATGGATGAGTTAGCTGAATGGAGGCATGGGAAGTCAAAGAAAGAATAGCAACGGGTGAATAACATTGTCTAATTATTCTATAAAGAATCTTATGCTAAGTTCTCTAGTTTAAGTCTCTCTAAGCCAAGAAGAAAGGCAAGGCTTTTAAATCCCTCTGATGACAACTCAAAGTCAAGAGCAGGTTAAAAAGGCATGTGCTAATTGTTCAAGAGTGATTGACTAAATCTAATACAATAGTAAATGCCATGTATTAGTTTTTGGTCAGGGCATTGGGCCTGGCATACAGTCAGTATTCAGTAACATTTACTGAGTTCGTATAGTATCCATTGCCCATCACAAATTTGGAAGAGATCCATCAAGAGGAGGAAATGGCTTTTTATCTTTTAGAATTGTCTAGTATTGACTCGGAATCATTTCTTTCATTTCATCAGTTTCTTTTATTTCATCTTTCTTACTCTTGTTCTGAATGAACCAAGGCCAGTTCATCTAACTAAGGATTGAAGTAGTGTTTGGTGGTGGAAGGGCAGTGGGAAAGACTTGAAGCTCAAAAGTTGGGACTCACCCCTACACACACACACACACACACACACACACACACACACACACACACACACACACCAAGCATGCACCTACAACCTACACCCCTACACCAGGTACTCTTTGTTTTATTAAGGGGAACCCTGCTGTGATGAATCTACCTGACTGTCACAAGGTGTCACAACTGCCCTAGGGAGTCTAACATATTTGGTAGTCAAGATCTCACAGGTTAGTCTGCATCAGCAGTTATGTGAGAGGCACCATGGCACCATTCTTGCCCACATAGCTGAGCTAATCAGCCCAGAGTCAGCCCTGCCACTGTAGAAATCAACTGAATACCATTGCTGCTGGGGATCTGATGAAAGGCCTTCCAAACTCCCCTGGTCCAGGTTGCTCCCTCAGAACAGGAGGAAAGCTAGATTCCAGCTGCTTTACAAGTAAGGTGAGAGACTAAGGACATCTCCATACCTTGCAGGACTGGGATACTGTTCCTGGAAGTAGATTCATGCAGTTTGTTTAGAGAAATATCAGGAAGAAAGTCCAGACGCAATGACTTTTTCCTTGAGGTTGACGCTGCTCTGTCCATAGAGCTGAGCCTCATTTGCTTCATCTGTAAAATAAAAGATTCTTGGAAATAGTGAGATGACTCAGCAGTACAGTTCACGTGTTCCTGCACAGCACTTGAAGTCTGCTTTCAGCAATCAGGTGGGTGGCTCACAAATGTTTGTAGCTCCAGCTCCCAGGGGCATGTGTATGCCTTCTTCTAGACTCCATGGGTACATGCACCAACTTGTACACAGACACAGACACACACACACACACACACACACAGACACAGACACACACACACACACACACACACACACACACACACACACACACACGCAAAATTGCTTTATTTATTTATTTTTAAAATCAGGTCCTGTCAACTCTGAAATAAAAAGGAAGATCTGTCATGTATTATTTTTGTTTGTTGTTTTGGTTTTGGTTTTTTGAGACAGAATTTCTTTCTGTATTTTTGGTGCCTGCCTGTCCTAGATCTTGCTCTGTAGACCAGGCTGATCTTGAACTCACATAGCTCCTCCTGCCTCTGCCTCCCCAGTGCTGGGATTAAAGGTGTGCACCACCACCTCCCGGTGTATTATTTTGTTGAACCTTCCAATCTCTTTGTCTTATTTGGTCCTGAATTCAGCATTTGAGGTGGGAGGATTTAGTCCTCTTTAACAGGAGCTGAGGCCATGTGAGACTAGCAAGAGGCAAAAGAAAATCAGTACAGGGAAACATTTTCACCCAGATCTGCTCAGATTCACTCCATGACCATCAGGACATTCATTTAGCCATCATACATAGACTGCTTGTGAGTCCTGAGAACAAGTTTAAAACAAGGTAAGATGGAGGCACAGAAGGAGCTCCAGGAGACTCAGAAAAGGTAGATTCTACATCTTTGGAATGGAATCCAAGAAGGATATTTCTGAATCAAGTGCTAATAACAAACAGTGAGCAAGAACAGTAGGTAAAGTTCACAGAAGAAGGAAAACAAAATTCAATTATATCCAACCAATGTTTATTGAGTTTCTCTCCTAAGAAACTTACTCATTAAGGCAGGAAAGACATCTAGCCCTTGAGGCAAGATGTAACCCAGTCAAGCCAATATTCAAACGCAAGTAAGAGTAGCAGAGGGCGAGGAAAAACATGTAAAAATTTGTAGAAATTCACTGAAGGGAGCTTTATCCCCTGACAGAGTTAGGATAGCACCTTGGAGCAGGTACTTTCAGCTGGGTAGTAACACAATGAGGTCTGTATGTGGGAGATGCAAACAAGAGAATCACTGTAAAGAAAGAGTAGATTCTGGGAAATGGAGCACTGAGTTATTAAAATTCATGGAGCACAGGAGGAAAGGTCCCACAAGTTTTTTGTTTTGTTTTGTTTTTAAATCAAATTATAGACATCCTTTAAAAAAATCCTGTCTTGGGGACACTGATGAACCCACACCAGTTCTGAAGTAAATAAGTTAATGATGCAGAGATTAAGATTTCTGAAAATGAATCTCTGTCCATTGTTTTGGTAAAAGGTAACTGATATATACAATATGACAGGAAATCAAAGTATGTCTTTCATTTGAGAATGGATATAGGAAAAGAGGGGGAAAAAGCAGGCCAGATAGTTAGAAAGATAATCTTTGAACCCGTATGATGACAACAGGAATAAAAATGAGATGCTGTAGACACCAGCTTATGACATGGATTCTAATTAAAAACATTTGCTGGACTTTTGGGGAAGGGCACAGAAATGCCTGGGATTTTTTAATCTTGGTGAGAAAAGGAAGAAACCAGAATCAATATTAGAAAAAATAAAGTTGAGAAGCAGTGGCAAGGTTTGAGAAAAGGTAATTAGAGAGAAGGTACATTTAGAGGAGACAACATAAACAAATGAAGCTGAAGGGAAGATGGGTCTGACAGTGAAAGCGAGGAAGCAGAGCAAGAACATTCCCTCTGAGGCAGAGGCTGGTTTACATTACATGTGTAGTATTACAAAGGAGGGGAGTTGCTAAAGAAAGGGTCATTAGTCTCTGGCACCCGAGGGGCTAAAGGGCACTGAGGCAGTGTCTTTGGCAATGTTTATAAGGACACAGTTGTCTGAGGAGCACTTCATTTCCTCTGGACATCAGAAGCTCTGTTTGAGATTTTATAATCACAGTATCTGACAGTGTCCATCCACCAATCACCAGATTCATCCAATAGGTATTGCTGGATGAAGTACACACACACACACACACACACACACACACACACACACACACACACACACACACACAGTCCATGCCGTTTAGGAAAGTTTGGGGTTCATTTTTTAAACGTCACTAAAGAAGGAGAAGTCAAGTAGTAGTAAAAGAAGCCCAGAGACAGTTCTGGGGAGGTGAGGTCCTTCTCTATTCACAGCAGCCCCAGAACCCTGTGCAGGGTTTCACCAGCCCCCTTTCCAGAGTTTCTGAGTGACCTGAGGTGAAGACCCCACCAACTGACTTTCACTCTAACCAGCTACCTAGATGATGTTGGTGCTTTAGGGGTCATACTTGAGGAACTGTCAAGCTAGTAAGAAGGCTCTTGGAGATTCATTCAGGCAGGTGTGGAATCCCAAGTATTTCTTTTTGTTTTTGTCTGAGCACTGATATGATTCTGTGCTGATTTTTCTCATATACAATGTGTTTTATTGCCAACAATACAGGACTCTTCAATGTGTTAACCCAGATCCTTAAACATACCTGTTGGCTTAAAATATTTCACTCGATTCAAGATGGTGGAGACAAGCAGACGCAGGTAGGCCTGTGGCAGTGGCCCGGAAAGGTAGACGGCCCGGTGGCGGCGGCGGCCAACAGGGACATTCAGGCCCAGCGGTGGCCCACGGAGGTGGACAGGCCCGGCAGCGGAGGTAAGCCGACGGAGGTGGATGGGCCGGCGGTGGCGGCCGATGGAGACATTCGGGCCCGGCAGCAGCCCACAGAAGTAGACAGGCCACACGGTGGAGACAGGCGGACACGGGTGGGTCCGCAGTGGCGACCCACGGAGGTGGACGGGACCGGTAGCAGTGGCCGATAGGGACATACAGGCCCAGCGGCAGCCGGCTGAGACATACAGGCCCGTTGGCAGCCCGCAGAGGTAGACAGACCCAGCGGCAGCTGACAGGGACATACAGGCCCGGCGGCGGAGACAAGCGGACGCAGGTGGGCCTGTGGCTCAGGCCGCAGGGGTGGACAGGCCCGGGGACAGAGACGGGCAGACGCAGCTTGGAACGGGACGCCCCTAGCCCCAACACCTGGGGAAGAGGCTATCTCCGTGGGTCGGAACCAGGGTGAGTCTGGGCACTCCGTCTGGGGACAACCCAGGGCCCAACTGCTGATCCTGTGAAACCCAACAACTTGGAGGTGTTGGTGAGACTACCCTGCTCAGCTGAAACCCATCTGGGAG